TGTGTACGATTTAATAGACTGAAACATTTATTTACAGTTGTATTATAAGTTTGCTCCTTTATATTTGTCGTCTTTATTGGTCCTCTTTTTTATAAAGCATCCCTACACGTTTAAAAAAAAACACATCTGTTATTTTCCTCTTATACTGTTATCATGAAAAATGCAATTTATTATAAACTTTTCAATATAAAAAGAAAAAAAAAACGTACATACATATACGTACACATACATACCTACAAACGAACACATGTGTACACCATTCGTACTACACAGGCGGTGATTTTTTGTAACGATAGCAATTTCCATTACCGGTTTTTCCACAATTTCAGTCCTTATTGCGACATTGAGAAAAGCGAAATGTATTCTCCCCTTTTTTTTTCAACAAATTGTCGATTTAAAGCTTAAATTTCTCACAAGTTTTGGGATTTTTTCGAACGAACAACTTTCGTTAAAGCGTGTTGCAAACTTGGCGAATTCGTATCGGAAACCACAAATCGTAAAATATTATTTCTCGTCTGCTATTTCCTCTTCCTCTTTATTGTCCTATATAATAATTTCGTAAATTAACTCTTCCCATTTACTGCTTGCCTTTATTTCTCATTGGTCTATTCTATACTGCTCGCTGTGTAATGTTACCCAAAAAGTCATTTTGTTTGTTTTTATTGAAGGGCTTTAGCGTGAGTCACTGACGGTTTCATGAGTCAAAACTGTCTATTAATTGTTTTCTTCATCGCCTTCCCTATTTGGCAAATGTTTGAAAAAAGGATGAAGTATAACCTCTCATTTTCGCCTAACGTCCACACCCTGCCACACCCTTCTTCCTTCGTCTTAACCTTCTGCGATTATCAGTGGTAAATCATTGTGGCTCGGTGCAACTGCTCACAACACGCAGATCAACTTTGCTTATTATTTTATTTATTTTTGAGAGATTTGTTTGCGCTTTAGTTCATTTCCAGTACTTTCAGCTAAATGGGCCGTCATTTTGTGAGAGATTTGTTGCATACTTTGATTTATTAGTTCTAGTACTTTGCTGGAACTATTTATGAAAAGCGGAATATTTCTGCGAGATAAAAATGGGAAATAGCGAGATAGTATCGTTTAGATATGCCGAGGGTTCTTAGAATACAATAATCAGCTTCTCCATGATTTGTTCATTTGTCTCGATAGTAATTTGAAAATTAGGGAAACCAAACCACCATCAGTTTGCTAAAAGCAATCAAAAGAGGCAGCGACAGTTATGTCGATGGTTGGTTGCTGTTGGCATTTGCTACCATTCGGACTACCTTCTTCGTATATTAAAAAGCAAATGCGATATTCCATAATGAATGGTCAAAACAATAACAATTTACCATAGCGCGAACGAAATTTGAGGGGACTGATAACACCATAAGCACAATCGAATCATTGACTTTGGGTTTAAGCTAACAAA